TGGAACAACGTGTTGAGATATCCTCGTGGACTGAAGTTTTTTCTTCTTGTTCCTTCTAGGCCTGGTACTGTAGCCCTTCGTGAGATTCGTCGTTATCAGAAGTCGACAGAGCTGTTGATCCGTAAGCTTCCCTTCCAGAGGTTGGTAAGGGAAATTGCCCAAGACTTCAAAACAGACTTGAGGTTCCAGAGTGCAGCCATTGGTGCACTGCAGGTATTGTACTACTAGTGACCTCACTGCTGCTTCTTATGATAACTTAAGAAGCTGGGGGAGTAAGTGTTTTCTGAAGGTTTCTAACACTCTTCTCTTGTGGTTTTTTTTTTTTTTAAACTAGGAGGCTAGTGAAGCATATCTGGTGGGTCTGTTTGAAGACACAAACCTGTGTGCCATCCATGCCAAGAGAGTCACTATCATGCCCAAAGACATCCAGCTGGCTCGCAGGATACGGGGGGAGAGAGCTTAAGTGGAAGCAGTTTTTATGGTGTTTTGTAGTAAATTCTGTAAAATACTTTGGTTTTAATTTGTGACTTTTTTTTGTAAGAAATTGTTTATAATATGTTGCATTTGTACTTAAGTCATTCCATCTTTCACTCAGGATGAATGCTAAAAGTGACTGTTCACATAAACCTCAGTGATGTGAGCCTTGTTGCTCAAGAGTGACAAGTTGCTAATATGCAGAAGGGATGGGTGATCTTTCTTGCTTCTCATGCATGTTTCTGTATGTTAATGACTTGTTGGGTAGCTAAAATTGTAAGGTACTAGAATTGATATAAATGTGTACAGGGTCCTTTTGCAATAAAACTGGTTATGACTTGATCCAAGTGTTTAACAATTGGGGCTGTTAAGTCTGACCATACATCACTGTGATCGAACGTGGACTTTCAGAGGGTGAAACTACAAGTCTTAACCACAGTGTAACTTACAGTTTCCTAAAAACGTAAACCTGGCAGCTATAGAATACACTATGTGCATTTATAATAGCTATTTTATATATTGTAGTGTCGACATTTTTAAATTAAATGTTTTACATTCACATGTGAGGTGTCCTGTCATTGGTGTGTCCCTGGAGTTAAAGAGCAAGCTGGATCCAATTTTTGAAGGGAGAGTTAATATTCTTTTGCCCAATGGAGAGGTAGTGTAATACTTGAGAATGTTCTTCCCCTAATTTGTTGTGTTTCTTGTATAACTACTTTACAAGTGACCTGAACTAGGGAAAACTTGAGCTTTTGTCCTCTGGCTGCTCACGTTTTAAATTAGTAATTGGTCTTGTCTAGGCTGGAAGGTAGAGCTTGGTCCCACTCCTTAAATCACAGTGGCACAATGTGGTGTGTGTGGTTTGTTGTCTTTGAGGGGGAGAAGGCCTTAAGCTACCTGTACCTTCAAGGTGCATTGGTATACATTAATCTCTTCCCCAAAACCAAAGCACCTCAAACAAGCTACAGAAAAGGTTAAGGCTTTAATAGGTTGATTTAGTCTCATTAAGTTATGGCCATTAGACTATTGATATTAGTGGTTCAGAAGAGAATGGTCTTTAACTTAATTCATTTTGGAGTCACTTCAATTTTCTTTATGTATCTTCCTCGGAGTTCTTAAGTTTAGGCACAACAAGCATGGGGGAGATCTCAGTTGGACACTGAGGTGTTTAATTTAGGAGGAGCCTCCTGACTTGACAGTCAATGAAATTTTAGGTGCTTTTGAAAATTTTGACTTTTCCTCCCAACTATTTAACTTAAGTTACAGGTTGTGAGCAAGTTCTAGATGGAGTAAAATTCCCCCATCTCAACTTCTTGTTTCACTTTTAATACTCTTT